TGAAAAAAGAGACTAAATATGCTAAAGAATTTAGGGAATTGATATGGGAATGAGTAACAAGGGTTTGAGCTGGTGTGTTAAGGGTAAAGGGTAATATTGCTGCTACTCTAAAATCTACTTTTACTACATAACTACTTCTAAGATCTACAAAAATTAAAAAAATCAAAACATCAACACTCCAAGGTATCAAAGTCAAGGAACTCTGTTTTGTGAAGAATTTTCTCATTACTTTATAGGAACTGTCAGATGCCTGCTTAATCTTTTACATAAATAAAATATTGTACTTTCCTTGATCTGTCTGCACTTCATTGTATTTTATTTCTGAAGTTTGTTTTTAGTGTTGTGTGAGGATTGCTGATAAAACCTTGGGGTTTTGGTAGCCCAAATTATCTATACACTTGTGAAACATGCATAAAACAATTTGAACAACTCCAAATGCATCTCTCTTTCTAGTATACAGAGATTAAAACTGTCTTATAGAGCACTTTTTTCCTTTTTTTTTCTTTCTGATTTGCAGGTAGAAAAAATAACTGGCCACCTCTTCCTCAGAATTTTCCAGTGGGTCCATGTTTCTAGCAGGACTTTTCTGTAGACATTCCTGTAGAATTTCAGAAGACAGTAAAGAATATGTACTATTTGTGGATGTGTAAGTATTTTTTTTAAGGAAAAAACAAAGTGCCTATTTGAACTTGATGATACATACCTGCTACTTCGGCTTTTGCAATATCTGTAATGAGAATTTTTTTAAAATTCAGAAGTCAAATATTGAAGTGAAATCTTTTTGTTAGCTTCAGTTTTAAAGGTATTGGATTATTTAATAAAAATTTCCATGAAAAAAGGAGAATTACTCTAAGGCAATTTGGTTATAGTATATTGCAGTTTTCTGTTTTAAATATCTGTGTTGTTGTAAAATGAGCTTTGACCTTTTATTACTTTAGAAATAATTTTACTATTTTTAAAATCAGCTTATATAATGAGAAATATAATTCACCATCAGTGTTAATAGACTTTTGAGTTTAAGAAGTGTAATATCCATTTACTTTATAATAACATAATTTTATATAGTTTAACATAGATTCAGTCTATAGTGGAGACAATATAATTTTAGTCTATTTAAAAACATAGTGTAAATTAAGTTAGCTGAAGAATCAGTCCATGTTACAACTGTACACCAAGAATGCTCTACACACGGGGTTAATTTTGCTTTCATTCAGGTGCCATGTTTTGGCTGGAAAAACGCTGAATGAACGAAATGTACAAATGCCACGACATTTGTTTTTTCTGCCTTGTCCAGTGTGATGAGAGCCTAATAAATACTCTGAGACTGATGAAATTCCAAAGATTTAGGTGCTCTGATGCCATTAATATATTTTTAGCATACTTAAAGGGAATGTAAATTTCAGAACTCTTCTGTATTTTTTTTTCAAATCTGCATAATTTTACCTGTTAATCTGGTAATCTTATTACTGTGATTGAAACATGTTATTGAAAAACATAAAATCAGCAGTCAGCATTGAATCAAATAAATTCCACTTCATCGTAATCCACGGCTTTTTATATTCATTGTTGGGTTATAAATGTTTAAGCAACTAGATCCACTGTAGAAGGTGGGACTAGTCACTCTCATAAATCTGACAGATATTTAAGTTTTATATGAAATCTAAGATCAAGTACTCCAAAATTCTAGGGTAGTTACTAATTCTGGCCATTTGCAGGATTGTTCTAAAAGTGCTGTATGTTTCAAACACAAGGTGAAGTTGGGCAGTGAGAATTAGAATATTAATACTGTTTTTCTTTTTCCTTCTTATGGCAATAAATAAAGGAAGCAATGACATTATAGTATTTTAAAATGTTTACAAGGTATGCTCTTATACTAACGTGACATTATCTTCTAGGTAGACAGATTTTTAACTGAGTCCTCTTGTTCTTTTCCTTCTTTAGCTCTTGTACTCTGACTCAGGAATTATTCATGAAGGAAAGAAGGAAGTGGACATAATAAAAAAAAGAAAGACAAAATCTATTTCAGACTAAAAAAATAAAAAGATTGAGTATAAAACTTCGTACCTTAGAGCTGGCTGTTGAATCGATCCTCATGATTCTTCTTTCTATGGGGTTTGGCTTTGCTTCCTCAGTGGAGGCACTCATTACCATAGCAAACCAACCTGTTTCTCCTTGTTGCTCTACCCTACATTTTATTTCCTCTTCCAGAACTTCCTAGACCTTGTAGGGTCTAGGGGATCTGTGAATATGATCACATTTGGATAAATCTAGCACTGCCTGCTCAGCACTTCATAAAGTAGGTTAGTTTCCCTCTTCCTTTTTAGCAGCCCTAAGAACACACCTTTCTATTTCATATTTTTGGGTTTTGCTTTGGTTGGTAGCAATTTTTATATCTTTATTCATGGCTTTTATGTATCTGAGGAAACTTTTACCTGCTTCAGATCTAAATGCTCTTTTTCTCTGCTTGTATCCCTATTCTGTGAATTTATCCTTTCTCTATGTGTATCTCAAATTGGAGTTTTCGGATTCCTTGATGTGGTTTTCTTTTTGCACAAATTTTTTTGTTTGTGTTTGTTTGTTTTTTTTTTTCCCAGGGAGAGCTTTTCTTTTTTTAACTGACTGACTGCTCTCATGTTTTTGTGAACTACAGCAATCAATTAACAATGGCTTCTGTCAGCTGCCAGTGGAGCTTTTCTATACTATCTTGTTTTTGCAACCATTGCTGTTCTAGTTGCTTGCAGATAGATTGGCAGTTATCCTGGCTCTGTAGCATCAGGCACTACTTTTTAGATCTTTGTATGCTGTTACTAGGGAAACGTCCCACGTCTCTTGATTGTTATCTGACACCAAATATTTTTTGATTGAAAAGCCTATTTTCCAGCCATTTTTCCCACGGGGTGATGATGAATGGGGGGGGTTATGCCCATGCATCCGGCCCAGAGCGCATCTTGCGTAGGGAATTAGACACATACACACAGGTTACATGTCCAGCAAAATGGTCGATTCCTTTATTACACTGGTGCTTTTATAGGGAGGGTATAGAAGGTTCTGGGACAGGGGTAGGTTGGTGGTTTGAACCCTCGAATCTCGAGGATTTCTGATAAGGAGGTTTGAAGATATTGGTTAGGAGGATATGTTTATTCATTCAGGGGGAAGGGATAGCTAGGGGAAGAAGGGAAGGAGGGTCTTTGGGGGCCCAGGAGAGGG